CTGTAAACACTTGGTCTACACACCCTCTACCTTTTCTAAAACCTCCTTGTTCATCTACTATCCTACTCTCCGTCTTACTCTTAATTCTTTCAATAATAATTCTACCATACACTTTACCAGGTATGCTCAACAGACTTATTCCTCTATAATTTTTGCACTCTCTTTTGTTCCCTTTGCCTTTATACAAAGGAATTATGCACGCTTTCTTGCAGAGGTCACTGGACCTAACTGTTTGCGACTTCTTTCTTTAGGGGTACGTGAAGAGCACAGTTTACGTACTACCTGCAACACGGGAGGAGCTGAAAATTTCGATCACTGAGCAGTTCGCATGATAATGCCAGATATGCTGCATGCAGAGCGTCTGGATCGAACTGGACTATCACATCGATGTTTGCCGAGCACCCAGATGGACGCACATTGAGTGTCTTTAATTTAATGCTACACTATACCACATGAAACTGAATGAAATCCTACATCTGAAGCTACTAACTGTGAAAGATTATTACAATAAAGTTATATGTTGTACCTGTTTGAAATCAGGGAGTGTTTTTGTGGGCACCCTGTATTATATATATATATATATATAATATATATATATATATATATATATAATATATATATATATATATAATATATATATAATATATATATATATATATATATATATATAATATATGTCGTGCCAAATAGGCAGAACTTGCGATCTTGGCTTAAATAGCAACGCTCATCTTGCATATAGGACAAGTGAAAATTTGTGTATGCAATAATTTCGCCAAAATCATTCTGAACCTAACGAAAAAAATATATTTCACTGTGTTTGTTTAGTATTAAATTATTGTAAACAAATCTAAAATATATTTAGTTGGGTTAGGTTAAAATAAATTTTGCTTGTTATAATAAGGTTGTAAGTTTTCTAAGTTCCTTTTGGTGCAAATTATAAATTTTTGCATCAACATTAATGAAAAAAATATATCTTTAAACGTATAAGAGAAAATTTTAGAAAGGACTTAATTTTAAATGCGTTCTTGCTAATTGACCAGTTTTACATATTCGGCACGACATATATATATATATATATATAATATATATATATATATAATAAATATATATATATTATAAATATATATATATATAATATATATATAACATACATGAGACGAGAGAGAGAGAGAGAGAGAGAGAGAGAGAGAGAGAGAGAGAGAGAGAGAAGATTTAAATTTAATAAAAATAATGCCTGAGGAGGAACACAGGTACCACACAACAAGAGCAGCACGACTGTCACCGCCAGTAACAACGAAACCCACCACCACAGCAATCACAACCACCATCACTGCCACCACCAGCACCACCAGCACCACCAGCACCATCAGCACCAGCAGTCACCAGCAGTAGTGTTTGTGGAGAAACTTTGCCCTGACGACTGTCTTGTTCAGTCTTTGTCAATGAGTTAATGTTTACAAGAAGCACCAGTGTGTGACTGTTGTCCACTGATGACTCTAACACACACACACACACACACACACACACACACACACACACACACACACACACACACACACACACACACACACACACACACACACACACACACACACGCACACACACACACACACACACACACACACAGTATGCGGCACCAGTTTGGAACCCACACCTAGCCAAGCACATAAAGAAACTAGAGAAAGTGCAAAGGTTTGCAACAAGACTAGTCCCAGAGCTAAGAGGTATGTCCTACGAGGAGAGGTTAAGGGAAATCAACCTGACGACACTGGAGGACAGAGAGATAGGGGGACATGATAACGACATACAAAATACTGAGAGGAATTGACAAGGTGGACAAAGACAGGATGTTCCAGAGACTGGACACAGCAACAAGGGGACACAGTTGGAAGTTGAAGACACAGATGAATCACAGGGATGTTAAAGAAGTATTTTTTCAGCCACAGAGTATCAGGAAGTGGAATAGTTTGGGAAGCGATGTAGTGGAGGCAGGATCCATACATAGCTTTAAGCAGAGGTATGATAAAGCTCACGGTACAGGGAGAGTGACCCAGTAGCGACCAGTGAAGAGGCTGGGCCATGAGCTTGGACTCGACCCCTGCAACCTCAACTAGGTGAGTACAACAAGGTGAGTACACACACACACACACACACACACACACACACACACACACACACACACACACAACATACACATATTGTGTATGTGAAGGACATGATGGAGGAAGAAGTAGTCATAGGCATTCCTGTTCGCACAAGGAAGAGAGCAGAGCAAGAAAGACTTCCTATTTTTAAAACAGGGGACAAGTCGTTACCGTCAAATTACCGCCCAATAAGCCTGACCTCAATTGTAGGCAAATTACTAGAGTCAATTATAGCTGAGATTATAAGAAGCCATCTCGATAAGCATAGCTTGATTAATGATACTCAGCATGGATTCACAAGAGGCCGGTCTTGTCTAACTAATTTATTAACTTTCTTCAGTAAAGCTTTTGAGGCTGTTGACCACAATAAAGAATTTGATATTTTTTAAACTTAGATTTTATAAGGCTTTTGATAGAGTTCCGCACCATAGACTGTTAAAGAAAGTGCAGCTCATGGCATTGGGGGAAAAGTGCTCTCGTGGATCGAGTCATGGCTCACTGACAGAAGGGCAGAGAGTGTCCATAAATGGGGTTAAAATCCGAGTGGGGTCTGTAACAAGTGGCGTTCCACAGGGATCAGTTTTGGGGCCCGTTTGTTATTTATAATATATATCAATGATCTTGAGGGGGAAAATTACTAGTGAATGAGCAAATTCGCCGATGACACAAAGATAGGTAGGATAATTGATTCAAACGTAATGTTAGGGAACTTCAGGAGGATTTAAACAAACTCTATTCTTGGTCAGAAAAGTGGCAGATCAGTTCAATGTAGAAAAATGCAAGGTTCTGAAGCTTGGGAGTGCCCATAACCCTAGTACTTATAAATAAATGATGTAGAACTTAGCCATACAGATTACGAAAAGGACTTGGGGTTATGGTGAGCAGCAACCTTAAACCAAGACAGCAATGCCTAAGCGTACTAATAAGGCAAATAGATTACTGGGATTTATATCAAAAAGTGTAAGCAACAGAAGTCCAGAGGTCATACTGCAGCTTTTATACATCATTAGTAAGGCCTCACCTTGATTATGCAGCTCAGTTCTGGTCTCCGTATTACAAAATGGACATAAATTCGTTAGAAAACATTCAGCGTAGGATGACTAAATTAATACATAGCATCAGAAATCTTCCTTATGAAGAAAGATTGAAGACTCTTAAGTTACATTCACTTGTTAGACGAAGAATGAGGGGAGACCTGATCGAAGTGTATAAGTGGAAGATAGGTATTAATAAAGGGGGATATTAATAAGGTCTTGAGGATGTCTCTCCAAGAGAGAACGCGCAGTAATGGATTTAAATTAGATAAGTTTAGATTTAGAAAGGACATCGGAAAGTATTGGTTTGGAAATAGGGTAGTTGATGAGTGGAACAGTCTACCTAGTTGGGTTATTGAGGCTGGGACTTTGGGTAGTTTCAAATCTAGGTTGGATAAGTACATGAGTGGGATGGGTTGGATTTGAGTGGGACTTTCACATCAGAGCTTATTTCTTGGTGGCATTGAAAATTGGGTAGGGCAAATGTTTTGTTAGTGGGATGAATTGTAAAGGACCTGCCTAGTATGGGCCAGCAGGCCTCCTGCAGTGTTCCTCCTTTCTTATGTTCTTATGTAAATGGATTTGTACAAGTTGCAAGCCTAGAGTTTAACCGCAACCGGTGTAGACTCGGGGGGGGGGGGGTAGTGGCTGCAAACCTCAGTCAAGACTGCCTCGGAGTTCACCTAAGGTTCATAACGATGAAATAACCTCAACAGCTAACGCAAGACCGACAATTCTTGTATCACATTTCAGGAGCCTCAACAAGGAGTAATTCACTTTACAGGATTTATGCCAGGACCATCTTGGAGTCTAATGGATCAGTATGGAATCTTTACCTGATTTCTTCTCTTTTTTCTTCTTCAAGATATATGGAGTTTCCCTAGAAGTTCCTTCCTCCCAGTGACTGCATAAATTGTGATGTGGAGTGACTCAAAGTTGTGTTGGTTCACTGATATCTCTTGTGCTTGTAGTACTAGGGAATCAATGTCCTGGTGTTTCTCTTGCTTCTGCCTAGTGAAAATACTGTGTTACTGATTGAGTTTAATATTGCCCAGTTTGATGGTCGTTCATAGGAAATCGGTCATTGTTTTAGCTACATTCTTCTTTATGTTCAGTAGGAAGTTTCCACCTCCCAGAATGTTGTCAATAATGAAAGGGATATTCTTGGTGGCAAGGTGATGTTTAAAGATGGTTCTTGTACTGTGATGTTGAAAACAGTGCAAGATAAAATGCTGTAATGTTTCTCGAACTTTGCAATGTGTGCAATATTCATTTAGATCAGTTCTGTACCTGCTGCTGTGAGCAGCTACTTTGTGTCACAGCCTTAGTCTTAGGTCACTGCTGTGTCTGTTGCTCGTGTCACAGCCTTAGTGTGGTCACTGCTGTGTCTGTTGCTCGTGTCACAGCCTTAGTGTGGTCACTGCTGTGTCTGTTGCTCGTGTCACAGCCTTAATCTGGTCACCGCTGTGTCTGTTGCTCGTGTCACAGCCTTAGTGTGGTCACTGCTGTGTCTGTTGCTCGTGTTTTATCATTTATGTGTTTCCACACTTTACAACTTTTTTAATATCTCTATAGTGTGTTGATGTAAATATAATTTTATATTTTTTCAGTGGTATAGTTGGTGATAGTAATATTCAGAGCTACTTCACGTGTTATCTGTGAGTCTGGCAGTGGTGTAATAAATATTGTACTGTGTATTGCCTTTGTTGGCACATCAAGTGTTTTATCGCGTGTGACTCACAGAGTGCTGAGTCAGCTTATATGTCATATCCATGAGACTTGTGATCGTGTAGATAAATGAGGCAGTGATATACATGTCCTTACAGGTTTCGGAGTGATATGTAAGAGCCTGTATAGCACTTTCGAAGTCGTTATAAATTGAATAATTGCCAACCTACAGTGTGATAATTAATGCAAAGGCCTAATAAATTCTATACTGAAGACAGAATGGTCTTTGGATAGTTTTCATCTCATTTTGAGATGGAAGCGAGGAATTTGCAATACCGATGTCACAGAGGGTGTATCATTGTTGAGGATTCGTGATCCATCTGTGTATACCCATATGCCTGTTGTATCTGGGTGAAGGTTGTGCACTGCAGACGTAAAAGAAGAAACTCCCGCTTCCTTTGCTGCTGTTCTGGGAGTATCATTTATAAGGTTAGTTATTGTATTTGGAGTAATACAGCTTTATGGTGGAACGTTCGGAACTGTTGGATGGTATTTCCAATTTTGGAAGTGGAGGTTTGATGGTGCCGCTGATGCATAGCTTGGCAGCAATTGTTGTCGAATTGGTTATGAATGTATATGATGTAGAACTGAGGATAAATTTTGTGATGTGCTCTACAGGATGTATCAGTTAGGGCTTTGAGTATCGTAAGCCTAGACTGGATGGCGTGTTGGAGGTGTGTGTTGTGGTGCATTCAGGTGAGAGGCGATTCAAGATACATTCCTAGGTATTTGTGTGCCCTTTCATATTTGATGGGATTGCTTTCAGTGGAAATGGTGAGCAGTTGTTGTATTGGTATTGTGGTGAAGATTTGAAAGGTTTTGTGTACATTGAGTTGGAGGCCCCATTCGTGTATCGTTAGATGTTCAGTGCTTGTATTATAGTCGTTGTAGTGGACAATAATGTGTTGTTATATCATCAGCATATACCGAGATGTGTACTGAATATGTGTTTGGAATGTTGGAAAGAAATATTATGAAATGGGTCCGGCTTAGCATTGATCCTTGTGTTAGTGTGGATGTCATGTGAGAAGCCGCCTTGAATTAATGTTTTGGATATTATGACGATAAGATCTTAATCAAATAAGTGTTTTGTCCCTTATTCCTTGATGCGATAGTTTAGCAAGAATACTGATGCATGGGATTCTCTATGGCGGTTTTGAGGTCGACATATATAACTGAGGGCCACAATGGAAATAAGTTAGGCAGTCCTCGATGACGCACTGGCTTTTTTTTGGGTTATCCTGGGTGGCTAACCCTCCGGGGTTAAAAATCCGAACGATATCTTATGTTAATGCAAACTTTCTTTCATGGTCTAGGATGCTCCTAAAGACGGACAAAATGCAGATGTAATATATACCGACTTTTCAAAAGCCTTTGACAGATGCGACCACTGAGTATTTACACAAAATGTGTGCAAAAGATATAACAGGTAAGGAGGGCAGATGGATTTTTAACTTGTTACAAATAGAACCCGACGGATAATATTCACAGTGTACCGAGTGAAACCAAGAGTTGCGCCAGTGAAGTCTTGTTCCTCCAGGCAGGGTGCTCGCCCCACTTCTCTTCCTCATTCTCAATTCTGACAGAAAGGAACATTAATCATAGAATTGTCATCCTTAGCAGATGACACTAGAATCTGTATGAAATCTGCCTCCATACAAGACGCAGTGAACCTCCAGTCTGATGTAAACAAAGTCATCCAGTTGGCCACTGACAACATATTTCAGTTGTTATACCCTAGAAGAATGGAGGAAATAAAACTGAGATCAAAGTACAAGACAAACTCAAACCTGGGAGTGATAATGTCAGATCTCACATTCAACGAACACAACAATGTTATTACCGCAACTGCAAGAAAAATGATATGTTGAATAACTAGAACTTTCTATTAAAGACTGCCAAGTCAGTGATGACTCTCTTCAGGTATTCTCTAGGCTGGAATATTGCTGTGTAGTAACGGATCCCTTAATGGCAGGTGAAATTGATGAATTGGAAAATATAAAGAGAACCTTCATAGCTCGTATAAACTCAGTCTAGAACCGAAATTACTGGAAGCACTTGAAGTCCCTAGAACTGTATTCCGTAGAATGTAGACAAGAAAGATACATCATAATCTACACCTGGAAGATATTGGAGGGATTGGTTCCAAACTTGCACACCGAAATTACTTATTAACACAAGAGGCTTTGGCAGACGGTACAGGATACTTCTACTGAAGAGCATAAAAGCGATGAATACACAGAAAGAGAATTTATTAAGTGTTAAGGGACCACGACTTTTCAACGACCTCCTTTCATGCATAAATGATTTTACCAACAAATTCCTAGCTGTCTTCGCGAGGGAGCTCAACAAATTTCTTAAAACTGTTCATGATCAACCGGGTTGGGGTATATACGTTGGACTGCTGGTGGCAGGTACTAACAGCTTCAACGATCAGACCAACAAGCAGGAGGCCGCGGGGACGCTGATCTCGGGAAGCGACTCCACGTAAACTTCAAGTAAACTTTAAGAATGTTTTGCATTTGCTTTACTGAGAAGTGATGTGGCAGCATGGCTAAAATCTGCTGTGATTTCAGACAACCTTAATTCGAGGTTTGTATTACCTGTATTTATAATAATAATAATAATAATAATAATAATAATAATAATAATAATAATAATAATAATAATATTTTTATTTACTACAAGTACATGTACAAGGTATACAGTCTTAGCTGACATCAATGACATAGTACTGTACAGAAAGCCGCTTGTTATGCAGAGCATTTCGGGCAAATTAGATCCTTGTCCCATGATGCAAGCCACACCAGTCGACTAACTCCTGGGTACCCATTTTACTGATGGGTGAAAATGGACAAGTGGTGTAAAGAAACACGCCCAATGTTTCTACCCGCGCTGGGAATCGAACGCAGACCCCCGCCGTGTGAAGCGAGAACTTTAGCGATCAGGCCTCACCGGTACTCGCCCACTGGCCTCTGTCCAAGTTTTGAATGTTCCATTCTGGAAGTGAAAATGGGTACAAAGGTGGCTCGAAACTGAGGAATTTCATGTTGAGTATGACATTGAATTTCATATTTAAACTGAGGCGACTTAATGCATATGTGAAGAGTTGCTTCATAGCCAGGTATGTTGTTAAAATATGTGGGAAGGTATGAGGGCGAGAGAAAAATATATATTGAAGTAGTTATGTTATTGTAGAGATGAAGCCGTGCCTTGTTCTGAGTGCTTTTGCTTCATGTCGGGTTGTTTGTATTAAGATAACCAGTAATTAATTGAGTAATAGAGCTTGTAGTTGGTCCTGGTAATAATCTTTTTCAGCTGCGCTCAGAATTCTTCCTGGGTTATATATAAACATGACGTGTGTACCCCAACATACGTGTGTGAAGGACGTCTCTTCCAGTTTGGCTAAGTATGGCTCGTCTGCTTATTAAGATTTCAAAAATTGGTTTGAGTTTGGTTTGGTTTTGATGAGTAGAGTAAAAAAAATATTCTGTTAATGTTTTAAAGCTTTTTACTTTCTAGGTCACGAGAATTAGAGGGGCCAAGCAAGGCTTTTGTTCGTTTGGTTGTAGTGTCTGTGTAGTGAGTGATTCATGTCTGTACTGTATTTAGTGGGATGACGGAGCTTGACTCATCGATCTCACCAGGGAATATACCGGTGAGGGTTGATTGTAATCAGACCTCACCGTCTCACTGGTCAACAACCAAAATGCTTCCGAGACCAGAGAAGCAATTTCCAACTAATTTTAGGTTACTGATAATGAATATCATGGTTAAAATTGTTTGTTAATTCTACTTTTCAGCATACACTTACGTGTCACAATAGGTTCCAACAGGTTGTGGCAGTGTGCTTCTTGCCACACTCACAGTCTAACTGACTTTCATTTTTGTTCCAGCAGTCATAGAAGGTGGTTGTGACGTGCAAGTTTATATTTTGAGGTGAAAAGTGGGTGATTTTCTTAGCCAGACCGGGCGGATACACCAAGTACTGCTGTTTTCTATATGAATGGGACAGCCGTGCAAGAGGTTCCCACTACAGTATCAGGAGAGACTGGCCACCTCGTCAATCATTGGAACCTGGGATGAAAAATGTTCAACATCCACCTCTCATTGAACCAAACAAAATTTTGCTACCACCACTACACATAAAACTAGGGCTCATGAAAAACTTTGCAAAAGCTATGGACAAATCCGGTCATTCAGGTCACTTGTTCTATCTAGGCTGGAATATTGTTGCACACTAACAGCACCTTTCAAGGCAGGTGAAATTGCTGAGCTAGAAAATATACAGAGAACCTTCACGGCGCGCATAACGGAGATAAAACACCTCAATTACTGGGAGCGCTTGAGGTTCCTGAACCTGTATTCCCTGGAACGCAGGCGGGAGATATACATGATTATATACACCTGGAAAATCCTAGAGGGACTAGTACCGAACTTGCACACGAAAATCACCCACAACGAAAGCAAAAGACTTGGCAGACGATGCAACATCCCCCCAATGAAAAGCAGAGACCATACAATAAGTGTCAGGGGCCCGAGACTGTTCAACTGCCCCCCAGCATACATAAGGGGGATTACCAATAGACCCCTGGCAGTCTTCAAGCTGGCACTGGACAAGCATCTAAAGTCGGTACCTGACCAGCCGGGCTGTGGCTCGTACGTTGGTTTGCGTGCAGCCAGCAGTAACAGCCTGGTTGATCAGGCTCTGATCCACCAGGAGGCCTGGTCACAGACCGGGCCGCGGGGGCGTTGACCCCCGGAACTCTCTCCAGGTAAATTCCAGGTAAATTTAACATCAAAATTCCCCTCACTGAGCAACGCTAAGATAAGAGAGGGAGTCGTCAATGGTCCTCAGATTCGAGAGCTTCTTAAAGATAGTGACTTTGAATCGGACCTTCATGGGGAGGAGAAAGCTGCTTGGGAAGCATTCAAGTTAGTGGTGAAGGAATTTCTCGGAAACAGAAGGGAAGACAACTATGAAGAATTAGTGGAAAATATGGGATGTAACATGTCACTTAAAATCCACTTTTTGGACTCACATTTAGACTTTTTTCCATTGAACTGTGAGGCACTTAGTGACGAACATGGTGAAAGGTTTCACCAAGATATTTCAACAATGAAAAATGGTACCATGGCCAATGGGGCACAAGAATACTTGCAGACTATTGCTGGACATTGACAAGAGATAATTCTTCAGCCCACTATAAGCATCAAGCAAAAAGGCAAAGAGTAGGTACGGATTAGAGTTTAAAACATACTGACGCATATTGTACGTTATAATAAAATAATCAAATATTACATGTCTCGTATCTTTAAACCTATAGCCAAAAAGTTTTTCTCAACGTGATATTTGGATTCAGCACATGAAAATACATAAGAATTAACAAATCACATTTAAGAAGCATACAACTTTTCAAAAATTGTTG